TGTACATGGATCAAGAGGCAGTTGTGTGAACAGAAAAGGGAGTACTGCTTGGTTTAAAATCAGGAAAGGTGTGTTTCAGGGCTGTATCCTCTCACTGTACTTATTCAATATGTATTCTGAGCAAATCATCAAAGAAGCTCGATTATATGAAGAGAATGTGGCAACAGGATTGGAGGAAGGCTTATTAACAAATTTTGATATGCAGAGGTCAATCTGATTTGCTGAAATGAGGAAGACTTGAAGCACTTGCTGATGAAGATTAAGGATTGCATCTCCCTTATGATCTATTTAAATTTGTTTTAGATTTTGATATTCATTACTTGCTTTCCCGTTGAGAGTTTTATGTTTTATTTTGCCATTGCTCTTAGTTTGTGGTTGTTTTTTCAAAACATTTTTCTGTATATGACATCCAGAATAGGTACCTTGATAGAGACAGTAACTGGATTAATGGTTTCCTTAGGGATATGGCTGGGGAGATCGAGGGGACATGGGGAGCTAAGAATGATGAGTACAGAATGAAGCAAATGTTCTAAAACTGTGATGATGATTGTACAGCTTCTTGATGTGATTGAACTATTGAATTGTATGATATGTGAATTTTATGCCAATAAAACCACTAAAAAATTAACAGAAAAAGAAAATGGAAAAAAATGTCCACTTAGGAACATAGTACCTGGCATATATTCTTCCCTTGTATTGTTAAGCATTTTTTTCCTGATGGGAGGTTGTTCCTCCCCATTTTCCTACCAACAGAAATATAATTGCCTTCTTGGAGAAATGCATGCCTCTCTCCCTTCATTTTTATTTACTTTTCCAAATGGGAGGAGTGTCTATTGGATTGGGATGACCTTAGCACAATTTTGTATGGCAGCAACTGAATGGTCATCTCCCTTTCCCCACATCTTAAGAAAAAAAAAGAAGACCCCAGTTGAGGTGAGGTGTCCGCTGTCAAAATGATTTTTAAGATGTACCTAAAGAGGGGGTGGTATATGGTTCATGCATGCTGGGCAAGCTCCCTACCACGTTGCTTGGGAGACCAGGTCAGAAGATTACATAATCTGGGAGCAGAAGCCTGCCTTCATTTCGGTGTTTATCCTGATGGTACTGGAGTCATGCAGTATTTGTCCGTTTGTGATTGACTTACTTCACTCAGCATAATGATTTCTAGGTCCCTCTATGTCATGGGGTGTTTCATTGTTGTTTTCTAGGCATGCACAGTATCTCATTGTGTCTATAGACTAATGGTTCCTTATACATTCTTCTACTGATGGGCAGTTGGGCTGTTTCCAGCTTCTTGCTCTTGTGAATTGTGCTGCAGTGAACACGGAGAGGATATGTTGGTTCATGTGCAGTCTTTTATTTCTTTGGAGTATCTATCCAGTAAAGATGTTGCTGAGGTGGATGGTATTTCTATTGCCAGTTGTTTTAAGTATAGTCCTGTAGTATTAAATTAAAATTGGCACGGAGGAGTGGGGTGAAGGGACCAGCCCCCACCCGCTGCTTGAACTCACTGGTTCAGTAATACTACTTCTGGGTTCAGTAATGCACAATTGTACGGTTGAGATATATAAATATTATATTAAAGACA